CATAGGCCGCAATTTATTTATTTATTACAGGTACTTATATACCCAGTGGTGTATTTTGGTTTTGTGCTGCCCTAGGCAAGACTAAAATCGGGCACCCCCCCGCATCTAAATTTGCCCCACCCCTTCCTGTTTAAGATTCACCTCTTCATCGGTAAACCCACCCCTTCCAATTTAGGCTCCACCTCTTCCTATTAGAGCTCCACAGACTGACAATGATGGGTCTCTATTCCTCCCACTGACACCAACAATGGGGCTCTATTCCTCCCACTGACATCAATGATGGAGCACTATTCCTCCCACTGACACCAATGATGGGGCACTAGTCCTCCCACTAATACCAATGATGGGGCACTATTCCTCCCACTGATACCAATGATGGGGCACTATTCCTCCCACTGATACCAATGATGGGGCACTATTCCTCCCTCTGACACCAATGGTGGGGCATTATTCCTCCCACTGACACCAATGATGGGGCACTATTCCTCCCACTAATACCAATGATGGGGCACTATTGCTCCCACTGATACCAATGATGGGGCACTATTCCCCCCACTGACACCAATGGTGGGGCATTATTCCTCCCGCTGACAACAATGGTGGGGCATTATTCCTCCCACTGACAGCAATGGTGGGGCACTATTCCTCCCACTGACACCAACGATGGGGCATTATTCCTCCCACTGACACCAATGATGGGGCACTATTCCTCCCACTAATACCAATGATGGGGCACTATTCCTCCCACTAATACCAATGATGGGGCACTATTGCTCCCACTGATACCAATGATGGGGCACTATTCCCCCCACTGACACCAATGGTGGGGCATTATTCCTCCCGCTGACAACAATGGTGGGGCATTATTCCTCCCACTGACAGCAATGGTGGGGCACTATTCCTCCCACTGACACCAACGGTGGGGCATTATTCCTCCCACTGACACCAATGATGGGGCACTATTCCTCCCACTAATACCAATGATGGGGCACTATTCCTCCCACTAATACCAATGATGGGGCACTATTGCTCCCACTGATACCAATGATGGGGCACTATTCCCCCCACTGACACCAATGGTGGGGCATTATTCCTCCCGCTGACAACAATGGTGGGGCATTATTCCTCCCACTGACAGCAATGGTGGGGCACTATTCCTCCCACTGACACCAACGGTGGGGAACTATTCCTCCCACTGACACCAACGGTGCCCCATCATTGTTGTCAGTGGGGGGAGGAATAGTGCCCCATCATCGGAGTCAGGAATAGTGCCCCGTCCTTGGTGTCAGTTTGGGGAGGGGGGCATAGTGCCCCATCATTGATGTCAGTGTGGGGGGGGAATAGTGCCCCGTCATTGGTGTCAGTGGGGGGGATAGTGTCCCAACATTGGTGTCAGTGGGAGGAATAGTACCCCATCATTGGTGTCAGTGGGAGGAATAGTGTTCCATCATTGGTGTCAGTGGGGGGTCGAATAGTGCCCCATTGTTGGTGTCAGCAGGGGGATGAATAGTGCCCCATCATTGTTGTCAGTGGGGGGAGGAATAGTGCCCCATCATTGGTGTCAGGAATAGTGCCCCATCCTTGGTGTCAGTGGGGGGAGGAATAGTGCCCGTCATTGGTGTCAGTTTGGGGAGGGGGGCATAGTGCCCCATCATTGATGTCAGTGTGGGGGGGGGATAGTGCCCCATCATTGGTGTCAATGGGGGGGATAGTGTCCCAACATTGGTGTCAGTGGGAGGAATAGTGTTCCATCATTGGTGTCAGTTGGGGGGTGGAATAGTGCCCCATCGTTGATGTCAGCATGGGGAGGGATAGTGCCCCATCGTTGGTGTCAGTGGGTCGAGGAATAGTGCCCCATCGTTGGTGTCAGTGGGGGAGAGGAATAGTGCCCCATCGTTGGTGTTAGTGGGGAAGGAATAGTGCCCCATCGTTGGTGTCAGTGGGGGGAAATAGTGCCCCATCATTGGTGTCAGTGGGGGGAGGAATAGTGCCTCATCATTGTTGTCAGTGGGAGGAATAATGCCCCATCATTGCTGGTTGTAGCAGCACCATCTGTACGGCACATTTACCGGGCGGTCAGCTGTCCTCCTTTATTCACTCTGGGCCGGCTGCTCCCTCACTTGATGTGCGCGCCGCCGCTCGGCTCTGCCTCCTCGCAGGTGATTGGCCACCTGTGTGCCTTTACTGAGCTACAGTTCTGGCGCCCAATCACTGGTGAGGAGGTGAAGCTTTCAAGGGGTGTCATCCCGCACACACATCGCGTCCAGGCACCGGACTTGTGGACCTCTCTACCCCTCCTCCAGCAGCACTTCCTGGACTGGATCGTCATGGGACTGGGACCGGAGCCAGGTATGACACAGCAGCCCCCTGCCCGCCCCTGTACTAAATAACCCTTCCATGGAAGGGGGGGCGGCAGCACCGCACCCCCCCCCAAAAGTGCTGCCCTAGGCAAACGCCTTGTTTGCCTAGCGGCAAATACGCCCCTGTATATAGCGCCATCAATTTACACAGCGCTTTACATATATATTGTACATTCACATCAGTCCCTAACCCTCAAGGGGCATATAATCTAAGGTGTAATACTGCTTACTGTTTCAAGTGGTATCATTTTAGGAAGGTGAAGGTTTATATATATATATATATATATATATATATATATATATATATATATATACATATACACAGTTGTGTTCAAAATAATAGCAGTCAGACATCACTAACCTGATCAATCACTGTTTTTGGTAGAAATTATATTTCTACATGGCAAATAATTTACTAGCAGGTGTAGTAGAGTCGTAGAAATCCAACAGACCCAACAGTCATGACATGCATGCTGCTGATTCTGTGTGATTGAATCACTAATTGAAAGGGGCATGTTCAAAATAATAGCAGTGTGGAGTTCTATTAGTGAGGTCATTCATTCTTTGAAAAACAGGTGGCAATTATTGCCCTTATTTAAGGAAGGAAGGCAGCAAATGTTGTACATGCTGGTTACAGTGTATTTCTCTCTGAAATTCTGAGGAAAATGGGTCATTCCAGACATTGTTCAGAAGAACAGCGTACCTTGATTAAAAAGTTGATTGGAGAGGGGAAAACATAAAGAAGTGCAGAAAATGATAGGCTGCTCAGCTAAAATTATCGCAAATGCTTTAAAATGGCAACCAAAACCTGAAAGCCGTGGAAGAAAGCGAAAAACTACCATTCGAATGGATAGAATAGCCAAAATGGCAAGGACTCAGCCAACAATCAGCTCCAGGAAGATCAAAGAAGGTCTAAAGTTACCTGTGAGTACTGTTACAATTAGAAGACGCCTATGTGAAGCCAAGCTATCTGCAAGAAGCCCCCGCAAAGTCCACTGTTGAAAAAAAGACGTGCTGAAGAGGTTACAATTTGCCAAAGAGCACATTGACTGGCCTAAAGAGAAATGGCGCAACATTTTGTGGACTGATGAAAGTAAGATTGTTCTTTTTGGGTCTAGTGGCCGGAGACAGTTTGTCAGACGACCCCCAAACACTGAATTCAAGCCACAGTACACTGTGAAGACAGTGAAGCATGGTTGTGCAAGCATCATGATATGGGGATGTTTCTCATACTACAGTGTTGGGACGATTTATCGTATACCAGGGATCATGGATCAGTTTGAATACATCAGAATACTTGAAGAGGTCATGCTGCCTTATGCTGAAGAGGAAATGCCCTTGAAATGGGGTGTTCCAACAAGACAACGACCCCAAACACACCAGTAAACGTGCAACATCTTGGTTCCAGACCAACAAGATTGACGTTATGGAGTGACCAGCCCAATCCCCGTATCTTAATCCAATAGAAAACTTGTGGGGTGACATCAAAAATGCAGTTTCTGAGGCAAAACCAAAAAATAGAGAAGAACTGTGGAATGTAGTCCAATCATCCTGGGCTGGAATACCTGTTCACAGGTGCCAGAAGTTGGTTGACTCCATGCAACACAGATGTACAGCAGTTCTCAGAAACAGTGCTTATACAACTAAATATTCATTAAGTGATTCAAAGGAAAGCAAAATCTTCAAACATTTTTCAGTTTATATAGTGAATTTTTGAGTTTGTAAAGAAGAGTGCAAACACTGCTATTTTTTTTTTTGAACAGTCTAATATTCACTTTTCTTAAATATTTTTAGAGGAACAACACAAATTTGATATATTTTTCTTCATGTTTTGATTTGGAATAGAATGTGTAGTGTTTCCAATGCATTTGTGTGTATGGAAATAAAAGCTATTAGAAAGATTTTGAGCTTTATTCACTTTTTTCAACACACTGCTATTATTTTGAAGACAACTGTATATACACACTATATTGCCAAAAGTATTGGGACGCCTGCCTTTACACACACATAAATTTTAATAGCATCTCAGTCATAGTCCATAGGGTTCAGTATTGAGTTGACCCACTCTTTGCAGCTATAACAGCTTCAGCTCTTCTAGGAAGGCTGTCCATAAGGTTTAGGAGTGTGTCTATGGGAATGTTTGACCATTCTTCCAGCAGCATTTGTGAAGTCAGGCACTGATGTCGTGCGAGAAGGCCTGGCTCGCAGTCCCTGCTCTAATTCATCCCGAAGGTGTTTTATTGGTTTGAGGTCAGGACTCTTCAGGCCAGTCAAGTTCCTCTACCCCATGCTCACTCATCCATGTCTTTATGGACCTTGCTTTGTGCACTGATGTGTAGTCATGTTAGAACAGGAAGGGCCATCCCCAAACTGTTCTCACAAAGTTGGGAACATGAAATTGCCCAAAACGTCTTGGTATGCTGATGCCTTAAAAGTTTCCTTCACTGGAACTAAGGGGCCAAGCACAACCCCTGAAAAACAACCCCACACCATAATCCCCCAACTCCACCAAATTTACACTAGGCACATTGCAGTCAGGCAAGTACCGTTCTCCTGGCAAATGCCAAACCCAGACTTGTCCATTGGATTGCCAGACAGAGAAGCGTGATTCATCACTCCAGAGAAAACATCTCCACTGCTCTGCAGTCCAGTGGTGGCGTGCTTTACATCTCTGCATCTGACACTTTGCATGGCACTTGATGATGTAAGGCTTGGAAGCAGCTGCTCGGCCATGGAAATCCACCATTCCATGAAGCTCTCTATGCACTGTTGTTGTCCTAACCTGAAGGCCACACGAAGTTTGGAGGTCCTTAGCTATTGACTCTGCAGACAGTTGGTGACTTCTTCTGCGCACTGTGCGCTTCAGCATGCACTGACCCCGCTCTGTCATTTTACGTAGCCTACCACTTTTGTGACTGAGTTGCTGTCATTCACAGTTGCTTTTACTTTGTTATAATACCACTAACAGTTGACTGTGGAATATTTAGTAGCAAGGAAATGTCATGGATGTATTTATTGCACAGGTGGCAACCTATCACAGTACCAAACTTGAATTCACTGAGCACCTGAGAGCGACCCATTCTTTCACAAATGTATGTAGAAGAAATCTGCATGCCTAGGTGCTTGAGTCTATACACCTGTGGCCATGGAGGTGATTGGAACACCTGAATCCAATGATTTGGAGGGGTGGCCCAATACTTTTGACAATATAGTGTGCGTGTGTGTGTATATATAAATATATATATATATATATATATATATATATATACTGTATATACTTGATTGTATACACCTGAATTAATCCAATGATTTGGAGGGATGTCCAAATACTTTTGGCAATAGACCAGTGACTGTATATGTATATGTATATATACAGTCACCTTTCAATTTATTAGGTACACCTATTCAATTGCTTGGTGACCCAAATTGCTAAACAGCCTATCACATGGTCGCAGCCCAATGCATTTAGGCATGTAGATGTGGTGAAGACGACTAGCTGAAGTTCAAACCGAGCATCAGAATGAGGAAGAAAGGGGATTTAAGTGACTTTGAATATGGCATGGTTGTTGGTGCCAGACAGGCTGGTTTGAGTATTTAAAAAACTGCGGATCTACTGGGATTTTCATGCACAACCACCTCTAGGGTTTAAAAGAGAATGGGCAGACTGGTTGCTGCAACATTCAAATGGTAGGGGTCAGAATTCTGCGTAAACAACATGTAATTGTGGATCCATGCTGCCTTGTATCAATGGTTCAGGCTGGTGGTGGTGGTGGTGTAATGGTGTGGTGGATTTTTTTGGTCAGTGAGTGTATATAGTGTGTATATATATATATATACATATATTTCACTGGGGCACAGCCTGCCTTTCTCAAAACCTTGAGAAAGTCAGCCAATGTCCCTCCGAAACCTTGACATTGATTAAACTTCATTGGAAAATTCCCCTTGCTGTAAGTCATGTTGAGTGCACCTACTGCCTGTTGCATATTTCTAGATACATTTTTCATGAATTGCACCCACACCAAACTTATCTGTACAAACAGATACAAGTTCCTCTTTCTCTTACCTGCTTTGGCTTTCCCTATGGGAGGCTTTCTCAATTGCTCTTAAACACAGCTTGTCAAGGTATAACTTGCACTTGATTTACTACTCAATTTACTTAGAAACCATATGAATCTGTAAAAGTGGAACTCTAGACCAGGGGTCCTCAAACTACGGCCCGCGGGCCACATGCGGCCCGCCAAGGGCGTTTATCCGGCCCGCTGGGCAGGGGGGCGCATCTGCCGCAGTTGGGAGAGCTCGGCAGGGCTCGGGGCGGGAGGCAGGAGTGCGGGATCAGCAATTCTAGAACAGGGGAAGGTGGGCTCAGCTTATGAACCCGCACTACTCACCTGGCCTTTCTGCAGCCAGCCGGCCATCTATTCTGATCAGTGCATGCAACCGTCACGGCCGGAGGGCGGAGCCTAGAGCTGACCATGAAGAGGGGAAGCAAGAGAGGAGACTCCATCGCTGCATGTCAGGTATCATGGCCACGGACCCTAGATAAGTGCAATAGATGATCGATCTCCTCCCTCTCTCCTCTCTCCCTCTCCCTCCTCTCTCTCCCCCTTCCTCTCTCTCTCCCCCCTTCCTCTCTCTCTCTATCCCCCCCCCCCCTCCTCTCTCGCTCCCCCCTCTCTCTCCCCTCTCCTCTCTCCCCCCCTCTCTCCCCCCCCCTCCTCTCTCCCCCTCCCCCTCCTCTCTCTCTCTCCCTTTCTCTCTCTCCCCCCTCCCTCCTCTCTCTCTCCCCCCCTCTCTCTCCCCTCTCTCCCCCCTCTCCTTTCTCTCTCTCTCTCCCCCTCCCCCCTCCTCTCACTCCCCCTCCTCTCTCTCCCCCTCCTCTCTCTCCCCCCTTCCCTCTCTCCCCCTCCCCCCTCCTCTCACTCTCCCCTCCTCTCTCTCTCCCCCCCTCTCCCCCCCTTCCCTCTCTCCCCCCTCTTTCTGTCTCCCCCTCTCTCTCTCTCCCCCTCCTCTCTCTCCCCTCTTTATCTCCCTCCCTCTCTCTCTTTACATTGTACGTAGATCTGACCCAACAAGGTGTCCTGCATTTACCGTATATTTTGCTCCATAAGACACACTTGGTGGGAAATGTCTGTGCGTCTTATGGAGCAAGCGGCCCAGTATTCCCACCGCCGTTGTATGTCCACAGTCTCTGGTCATCTCATGTACTATGTCCGCAGTCTCTGGTCATCTCCTGTACTGTGTCCACATTTGTTCATAGTTTTTTTTTTTTTTTAAACTATAGTCCGGCCCTCCAACGGTCTGAGGGACAGTGAACTGGCCCCCTGTTTAAAAAGTTTGAGGACCCCTGCTATAGCCGAATGATGTCTACAATGCGGTTGTTGTTGTGGACCTTTTGAATTATGTCTCAAAATATGACTTTATCAAGACATAATATTATATGGCAAACAGCTCAGTATAGCCGGATGCTAAGAGTTAATTTTGTCTTGGTTGAACCATCAAGGATTCTAGTTAAGAAATGGAGAAGGGGGGAAGTGAGACTTTTCCAAGACAATAAGACTGTTTGAACTGTCAACAAGGACTATTTGTATATTGAGGTTGAGAAGAATGCAGATACAGAAAGTCAAACAAATAGCCAGATAGGACTTCAACTTTCAAACATTTTAACAATAATGAGATGGGAACTCAACTGGTTGAAAGCTTAACCAAAACGTGCAGAGTGTGATGAACCAACAGACCTCTGAAATATACTATTGTTCACCAAGGGTGAAAGCATTAACAGTTGTTTACCATGAGTCCAACACAAGGGCCAGGCAAACAGAAAGTTTTTTTTCTACACAGAGAAAATGTTGATTCTAAAACAAAGGGGTGAAATTTAGGACATTTAAGTCTAAAAGTTGACTGTATATAAAGTCTAAAAGTTGACTGTATATAATTACAAAAATATATTACAAAAACATATTATAAATGAGATGTTATGGATTTTACACACCACTAAATATTCAGAAATGGGAACTATATATCACTAACTTGAGTATTGAGATGATGGGGAAGTAAGATGTATTATAAACTAGCATTAGTTACATGTCTTATCAGGAAACAAACAGGATGGTATTTCAAGAAGGAATAACTGAATATACACCTATATTCCATGGTCCCTATTTAGAATATCATAGGTATGATCACTTATCTCTGGAAAAAAGACGTATATTTGATTCCTGAAATTACCTTAAGATTCCACCCAAGGTATGAGTCATCTCAAATACTCAAATTGTTCTATGATACATGACCGCCACCTGGCGGGCAGGTGAGAAATAGCTTATGTACACACATTTCTCAACTAGCCAATCAGGAAGCCTGGTGGGAAGGTATCTTAGAACAATGGATTAGTGGATATAAAAGCCCTTGTACCTTTAACAAGAAAAAGCTCATCAAGAAAAAGCTCAAGAAGAGACCTCATCACAAAGAAGACCCTGACATCTGAAGAAGATCTCTGCTGAATAACTACTCTTTCATACTTTCAAACCTCCTAAAACTTTAACTAAATTTCTAAACCTCTAACCTTATAACTTCCTACATTCTCCCCTACTGAATATCTATCACTTGCCCTATAATATCAGTCTAAAGGCGTTCCACTGCCAGCTAAATCCACGGGAGAGTTGCCTAGTCTGAATTCCGGGTGTGGTGAGATGTTTATTTGATTTTGTATTACCTATTTTCTCTGTTGTGTGGAATCATAAAATTACCTTAGTGTATCACAACAATATTGGGTAGTTAGATATATGTAGAGAGATCCTGTTTTACTGTTAAAAATTGTTTGTTGCCATATTATAATTTTTTTATTTCATAATTTATTGAATATTAATAACCAGAGTATCATATATCAAGGGCTTGCTTCTTGCAATCCTATGGCCACGGCTTGTGAGAATATAACCTTTGAGATACTCGAAATTATTAATTATTAATAAATTTAATAAATAATCATATCATTTAAAAATTGTGATATTGATGAAATTAGTTAGAAATCTTATTATTGTGTCTTACATTGGTAGGATATATTTTTGATTGTGTGTACCAATATTCATTTATCACCAGTCTTTTACGTTTTGTGTTAATATATATATAATTTTTGTACATAAATAAATTTTTTATATTTATCTATTACAAGGCAAATTTTGTGTGTATGGTACGAAATCATATTGGCTAAAAGAATTCAAGGTATAATAATAAGTGGTGATCAAATTATCAAGGTGTCCAAATTATTGGTTTACTAAATATTTGCCGTATTTTAACGGCTGGAGGCACTGTAATATTTCATCTAAGGGAAAGGGACACGCCCTTTATAAATAATATATATCCTTACATAAACCACCACATTGTCCAGTTCTGGCAGGGCGTCATATGATGTCTTCCCAGAACACGTCCTCCTACGGACACAGCTGATCACATGACATGACGAGCTGATCACATGATCTTAGTGGCCTTTTACCACGTAATCAGCTGTGTCCAATAACACAGCAGATCACCGAGTAAATACAGTTGCCGGTTATCAGCAGCACTTTCCTCATGATGTCACAGTGTGAGGAAAGTACTGCTGCTGTCACAGAGCAGATTGGCGCTGATGATCAGTGCCTTGATGAGCAGTACCCAGAAGTGCCACCCACCAGTGCTCAGCAGTGCCACCCACCAGAGCCCAGCAATACCACCCATCAGTGCCTATCTGTGCCCATCAGTGCCCATCAGTACCACCCATCAGTGCTCCCCATTACTACCACCCATCAGTTCCCAGCAGTGCCGCCCATCTGTGCCCAGCAGTGCTGCCCATCAGTGCCACCAGTCAGTGCCACTCATCAGTGTCGTTCATCAGTGCCGCCTATCAGTGCCCATCATGGTTGCATATCAGTGCAGCATTATCAGTACCTCCTCATCAATGCCCACCAGTGCTGCCTCCTCAGTACCACCTCATCAGGGCAGCCTATCAGTGCCCATTGGTGCTGCCTATCCGTGACACCTCATCAGT